CACATTTAGTGCTCCAAGAAAATATTCTCTGTCCATGTGTATTTATATAAATAGATGCAGTTTCTTTGGCTTGAATAACGATCACTGGCTTCGTACATACAGGTATACTGGTTTACCTGTTTCTAGTTGAAATATAGCCAATCTTATTAACCAAGACAGTTGGACATTTGCCACATGTCACAACACTCATTTCCAAGTGCCATAGCTTGAAACAAGTAGTCAAATCTGATATTGGCTGGAGCTTTAGTTTATATGGACATGGTAAATGGCAAACTAGATGGTCAGAAAGTAATAAAAATAATCACAGCTTTACTCCACCCACCCCACTATGAAGTAAAAGGCTGTTTATAAGGCCATGTATGATGGTTTCATTTTTCTTATGGAAAACAATTTTAATTAAAAACTTCTATGCTCCTGTACCCAACCGTGGGGGTTCATCACACTAAACAACAGGTGTCACTATTACTAAGATAAATGTACTTTTTTTTCATTAAAATTACTGATATATATATATATATATCCTAAGTTAGTAGGGTTTATATACATGAACGAATCGCGAATGTCTTGTCCAATTTACCGTCAAAGCTTCTTCCTAGCCTATCGCATGTGTCTCACATATTTCCATTTTGGTGATCCCATACAATGTGTCTTCCGTTCTTTGCACTAGACTTTTCTATCTGCCAATATAATAATACAGTTTTGACACATTCCAAGTGATGAACTAAACAGAGTTGGTATCTTTACATCAAATCACGTCATTATGACGTCGCAACGTACTACATGAATATATATGTGCACTGTGACATATATTACCAAGCCAGTCCTTAGTGGTTTTCGTTTTTCATCAAACAAACACTGTACTGCAAAAGCAATCTTACATTTGTATTTCATGATAAATGATAATTCAAGCTTCATCATACTGTGCGATGTGTGGCTGTGCTACTGAATAGTTTTCTGACTTAAGAAAAACAAATATTCAAATAAATTTGTGTCTGTCACCAACAATCTGGAGAGCGACATCTGTAAATGTTATTGTCGCAATCAAGTAATGTAAGTCTAATTTATGTATGTTACCTAAAGGTCAATAACTTTGTCTGTTAACAAATTGACTTATGGTGACTTTACATGGTCGATATAGCATATTGTCAGTGTAATGGTTTGCAAGATTCGAAACCACAAAGACATCATAGTGGGCAACCACGTGCGACGTCTGTGTACTACGAAAAAGAAGAAACACAGTATGGTGGATTCACTGTAACGTATGTGTGCCAGGACAACGAGAAGACACAGTACAGTTGGTTCACTACGACGTATGTGTGTCACGACAAAGAGGAGACACAGTACGGTGGATTCACTGTGACGTCTGTGTCCCGCGACAAAGATAAGAGATAGTACGGTGGATTCACCGAGGCCACTGTGCACAACAATCAAGCGAAACAGACATAGTTAGTATGTCTGGTTCGCATATCATTGGAATTGAAAATGTAAGAAAAAACAAATTTTCCCTGTTTTATTGTCTTATAAATACAACCTGAATTTCTTTGTTGTTCAACTATAAATACAATTTGTTGATTGGTTGTTGGGTTGTACCTTAAAAATGTATTGTTCTAAAAAATCAATACGGCAGCCCCGTTTGAAAACGTCATCAAAACCCTTTTATGTATCTATTGTAGATCCGGCGAACTAATGCTGGTTGGTTTGGTGGTTGGTTTAAGCATCTGGTATTTTAGAATTTTTCTTGTTGTAACTTGAAATAAATGTGAATGCATTTTCCTAGTTCAATGATTGTTTTTTTTGTATACCTGTTAGGTGTTCATCATCCGTCCTAAAGTTGATTTTATTGTATTTAATATTTCAATCATGGTATTTTTGTTCCTAATGTATAGATTGTTTTTAGTTCTCTATTTTCTATTAGTCACAAACTGAGCAAATTTAGTCTTTGGCTATAAAATTATTATATCTGCCCCTTTCGATTTGAAGGGCATGGGTCCTTATTCCAACTTTCGTCTTAGCAGCACTATGATTTGGATTTTTGATTGTGGTGAGATATTTTTCATATGCCAATTCTGTTTTTAATTTTTCTGTAGCTTTGTAACTTGTTTTTATGATTTGTACTTTTTTTGGTATCATGTAATGTTTCTGTGCTATGGATTTCAAAGGATTATTCTAATTTACCTGTCACTGTATCATGGTTTTTTTTTTGTCATCCTGGGATTTATGTGTATTCCAGAAATTGTTCTATAATCAAATTTTCTAAAATCTGATTCATGTATTTTACTCAGTTGCCTTTTCCCTTTTCATCAAGATGTAATCCAAGTTTGTGAGCTTCGTGAACTAGCAAGTTTGGGTTTGAATTATTTATTAACTCTAGAAGGCTTGCCAAATAACTTGCTTTGCTATTTACTTTTAGAAGGTATTTGCAGTAATATATTTTCATTTGTTTTCCAATGGTGTTGACAGATTTGCCATATGACGTGATTTATGAAGTGAAATTTTATGTTGATGGGGGAGAACTTGAAAATACAAAAACCTACACATACCTCGGAATGAAAACACACAAATCAGGAACCTTCATCGTTACTCAAAAAAATGCAACAAATGCAGTTCTCAGAAAAACTAATTCCAATCAAAACACACCTAAAAATATTCGATTCAATCAAAAACCAATTTTGCGTTATAGTGAAATTGGTTAGGGTTAGAGGGCTAGGGTTTAGAGTTAGGGTTAGAACGAAAATATCTCACCACAATCAAACATCCAAATCATAGTTTGATTTGACGAGCGTGTTATAAATAACCATATGCGCTCACACTTAATCTTGTGATTGAGTTTAGACTGGCATTCACGAGTGTGCTTCGGAATAATACACATCGCTCGTATCAAACACAGATGATATTCGCGGGATGCAACGCATTGGGCCATTTTGGGAAAAACGAAAATCGCTACGTTACACCGTAAACTCATTCCGTGTGATGATTATGTATGTCAAAAGTTATTCTGTGAAATGGTCAGGTAATTATAAATTTTAACTTATCGTAGCGTAGTCCGCCATTTCTGAAAAAAATGTATGTTTACATACTTTGCATACTTTGGATTTTACCGGATTGATGACCTCAGTTTCACCCTGTGTCTCATACTTTTAAATTTCCAACACATAACTTATACCCTCTTTATATAACTATCGGTTTTTAATATTATTCTCTCTCTCTTTTTTTCTTCTACGACAAATTAGAGCGATGGAATAAAAATAAAATGAAAAACATATGTATAAATATAATGAATTATTTTTTTATTGTTCACTATTTACTATTATTGACTTTTCGTATTTTTCGAGGTGTTGACAAAAAATATTTATACGCTACGAAACTATTTTTTTTACTCACATCGTATGTTTTTTTCTGTGGCGTTAAAAAAGATACTCAACCACGCCATAAATGTATACTCCATGTCAATATTTTATTCTTGTTTACTCCAATTAAAAATAAAAAAATAAAATAAAAAAAATTAATTAAAAAAAAAATAAAAAAAAATTGATGTAATTTATGCAAATGTTTTCACGATGAACTCGTTACGACCTCGTATTCAAATCAATTCTATGTATGCAATATCCCATTGTGACGTCATCCTCATTCAAATTAACCCCTCTACGACCATGGTCGCTCATTTATGCTGATTTATGCACGAATTCTCATTGTAACGTCAGCATTCATGTTAAATCTGTGCACGGTTCCCCATTATGACGTCATCCATCCCCGCATGACGTCATCGCATCCGAACTATGAACAGCGCCCTCGTGGTCGTACCTATAGTGTGTCTTAAACTACTTATTTCACAAGTGTGACATTCT